TAATTCATGTCCGATGACAATACCAGATGACGAGCGTACTCATTGCTTTATCATATTACACTCCCCCCCCCTCCATGATATTGAAGAGGTTGACAAACAGAATTAATCATTTTTTCAGACGAGTGTTATAACGCTGTGTTCTTTAGATGAAACTGTACTCAATGCACTGTAAGGTGCATGTCATCTTATTAATAAAAAGGGATTAATGTACCCCCTCATTTTGAGTCTGTGTGTGAGGCACATCATGCAATAAATAGTATGTGAAAGTATATGTAGAGCTGTACATTTGTTATGTAAGCAACATATAGAAGTCTATGAGGGAATTCTAATACAGAGATCTGTGTCTGCAAGTGCTCTTGTGTCATCTCCATTATAATTGTGTTAAGAGCTTCGCCTATAAACTGAGTCCCATCAAACCAGTATGGGTTCCATTTGAGGCAATCAAGGGAACCTTGTAACTGGAAAGGTTACTGGTATGTTCATCAATCGAAATACCAATGAAATGAATAACAGAACATCAGCCCAATGTATTTCAAGCATAACAGGAGTTGCAGATGAAACACTGTTAGTTACGCAAGTTCTACACAAATTAACTTTTCCCATAGAGTTAATGCATCATAAATGCATATAATATGTCTAGTGCAGTGGATTCTGGATACTAGCATGCAACTGATAGGCCCTCACTGCCCATGTCTCTGTTTACTTTCTTAAGATAACTCCAGCAGTGCAGCATAATCCATATTAATCATTATAACCCTAAATTAGCCCCAAATTGGTCCCAGACAGTCTAATGCTCTTGTCAATGATTTGTTTATAGGCCGGAGTCTATTGTTTGCCTCAAAGGCCTACTGCTGTTACTCTAATGCAACCACTGCTGGGGAACCATTTGCAATGTGAGCTAAAAGCCTGTGTGAGTTAACCTAGCAGAGGCAGGTCTATCTTAATACAATTACCTCATCAGTGTGAATATGTAAAATCGTGTGACCCTTAAACAAACATTTCCCTCCCCAACTTAGACTCCATAAACACTTAATGTAACCTCCTTTGTCCAGGTTTAACATAGCAAAGTTCCATTGTTTAATGAGATGTTAGCTTGTTTAGGACTTTCTATGCATTGCTGAAATCAGCTGGGCTAATTAGACATGGTAAATTGAAGGGGGCCTCTAAAACAACAGAACCATACAATTGTAATAGTGTGGAATGCACCATGACAAGAGAACAAGGCAAATGTGATTTATATATTTTTTACTGTGTCCTAGTTACTGGATGGAGTGAGGCGTTGGGGTTTTATTTGCTAAGCAGTGATCTGACCTTATTTCACAAGCAAGATAAATAATATAAGGCAAAAACTCTCAACATCAACCATTTTGCTCAAGGTTTTGATTCTAGCTTGTCAATTTAAAAAAAGTTTTCTTTTAGGTGAACAAACCATTTGCTGTGTGGTTTGCGCAATACAAGGGGGTGAATGAGGATGTATGCCCCAAGGATGATTTTGCAACTGTAGTGGTTGTGGTGATGAGAGTCTACTATAAAATAGATTTAGCTAACTGGTGTGGGATTGAGGGATAGACTTTAGGTAGACAGACACATACATTGGAAGACAAACAGAGACAAGCAGACTGAAGATACACAGACAAACATGCCCGACGTCAGGAACATGCAGGATGCAATTGGTTTATCAGCAATTTCCACTAGTTACCATGACCTTTAATTATTAAATAATTGCTAATTATAAAATGCGTCATTTTCGATTTGGGTAAGAAAGAAGTTTATAGCCCCTTTAAATAACCCTTCTGTTAATCATCGCACACTCTATTTATAATCTAGTAATTGAGTTAACGTATTCTTTTAGACTTTGCTGAATCTGCCAAAGTCCTAACCCATGAATCACAGTCTACAGACATAAAAAAAAATAAAAAAAAAATAAAGGAAAATAAAAAAGCTTTATATTGGACTAGTTAATTCATACTGTTATTTGGGCTGGTGATAGAGCATCGAACTACTTCAGAAAGTGACATCTGCAATATTTTCTGGCAGTGCCCAACCCCATCGTTTAGGTCCTGACTCTTCAGGGTATTTTATTAGCCAGCTTACTTTGTTATCTTTACAGCTGGATAAAGCTTTTTTTTTTTCAAGTGCAGTCTTCTTTCCATGCCCATGGATAAAGAGGCCGCAGTCTCCTTTTTCAGGCTATTCTGGGCACACAATAGGGAGAAAGGGATCAGGGCCAGTGTTACAAGTGTGAGGCCTCTATACATCAGCATGAACAATAGGACTTGGAAGCGTCTGGCTCTTGGAAAAGCCAATGCTTTTGGGAGGGGAAGAGAAAATGCTTATTGTCCTAATGAATCCCTCCCCAGAGCAGACATGGTTTCTTTTATTCTGTTTCTTGAGGGATACAGAATACCCTGCCTGCCCCTCTATTAAACAAACATGCCACTAGCTTGGAGGAATTGGGGGCAACAGATGTTGCTGGGGTTGAGATGTGATATAGTAAATCACGGATGTTCCAAGCTATGAAGTAGCACAGAAAGGCACACATTTTAATTTAAGGGAAACAAATTTGCTGTCACAATTATTATTATTATTTTATTATTTATATAGCACCAACAAATTCCGTAGCGCTGTACAGTGGGTACAATGAAAACCTTATTCCGCTAACTTAATTTTATATTGAATTTTATTTTTAAAAGCTTTATTGCATAAATGACGATGTTCAAATACATGAATACAGAAGGCGAAACACAATTATTATTTTTTTTACGTGGATATTGATGTTGATATGTTACCAGACCTGTGTAAAAAGATTAATTTACAAAAATTATAAGAAGAATAGTAACATTGATTGACATTTTTCCAGCATGGCCATTTTAGTGTCAATTTTAAAAACAGTGCCAATATATAGCAAAACGACCTAGTTAACTGTTTAGTGAATTTCTTCATTTCAGTCTTTTATGTATGTACAGTCCTTTTTTTCCATTTATGTGGCATTTGAAATCCTTATCATACTGCAGCTTGCCAGAGGATTCTAAATTGTAGTACACAAGTAGCAGAATTTCTAAAAAATGTTCCTGCACGACAGGATTTCTGTATAAACTTAAAAAAACACGATTGAAGACTACAACACATATAAAGAAAAACAAAATGTATGAACACGCATAATGTCTGTGTTCAAGATGTGTAGACATATGTAATGTGTTGGTGCAATGATTGTGTGCAAGGGATATGTGTTTGTGCAATATGTGTGTGCATGTCTAATGTTTGTGCACAGTAAGTTTGCGCTGGTGTATTGTGTGTGTGTATGCACTATGAATGTGTGAATGTATAGATTGTAATGTGTGAGTACAATAAGTGTTTGTGAATGTATGTGTGCAAGATGTGTGGGCAGCTGTGTGCATAATATGTATTATGTATGTGTAAATATAATGTGTATGTGCACGCACTTTGGTGATCCAAGCGTTTTAATAGAAACAATTCACGAATTTCACTTCTAGTTTTTTTACATTGTTTAGTTTTGTTTTGCTCAATGCACTGATATGGTTCAAAGAGATCTCACAGAACATGTTTCAGTTTATTATTTTGTAAAAGTTTTACAGACCTGGCATTCCTGCTTGTAAACTTTCTTTTAAGTGAGTGTTTATACAGCAAATGGACTATGATCGTAGCAGACTGGTCTATGCTTTATAAGTGCCTTTGGCGGTACAAGCTGGGGCCGCTACGGAGCAGGTTACAGTCATATTCCTCCGTCACAACTCACAATTTCAGGTTAGTGATGCATAACTTTCCAGGACTCTTGCTATTAGAGACTACATTTTCCATGATTCTCAGTCTCATATTAGGGAAGACCTCATTATTATGATATATATGGACTCTACCAAACCACCATTTTGTGGGGAAGAGGGAAATATGCAAAGCACGCTATTTCAGCAAACAGCTACAGATGAAGGTCACCCACGTCTCTTAGTGACACAATAGTACAATTAAAAGTTAATTAGTGACCTCATTGTTCACTATCATGTGACATCAGGAAGCCACATAAATCAATGTGAATATATATGAGAAAATAAAGATTGGATAGTTTATAGAGTAGTGGATATATTTACTGCATTTAGTCTGATCTGAGGTAATCGCTGAACCCACTCCAAGGTAACATTTTCATCCGTGCTTATGTTTAACAAGTTTTTTTATGCTTTTGTTTATGGATTAACATATATTGATATTTCTTATGATTTGAACTTAGTGAACTTTATTTAAAAAAAAAATATTTATACACTGAACAAAATTATAAACGCAACACTTTTGTTTTTGCCCCCATTTTGCATGAGCTGAACTCAAAGATCTAAGACTTTTTCTACGTACACAAAAAGTCTTTCTCTCTCAAATATTGTTCACTAATCTGTCTACATCTGTGTTAGTGAGCACTTCTCTTTTGCCGAGATAATCCATCCACCTCACAGGTGTGGCATATCAAGATGCTGATTAGACAGCATGATTATTGCACAGGTGTGCCTTAGGCTGGCCACCATAAAAGGCCCCTCTAAAATGTGCAGCTTTATCACACAGCACAATACCACATATGTCGCAAGTTTTGAGAGAGTGTGCAATTGGCTTGCTGACTGCAGGAATGTCCACCAGAGCTGTTGCCTGTGAATTGAATGTTCATTTCTCTACCATAAGCCGATTCCAAACGTGTTAAAGAATTTGTCAGTACATCCAACCGGCCTCACAACCGCAGACCACGTGTAACCACACCAGCCCAGGACATCCAGCATCTTCACCTCCAAGATCGTGAACAATATTTGAGAGAAATAAGTCTTTTGTGTACATAGAAAAAGTCTTAGATCTTTGAGTTCAGCTCATAAAAAATGCAGGCAAAAACAACAGTGTTGCGTTTATAATTTTTTTCAGTGTATGTGTACATATATATAGATGTATAAGTTTGGTTTAAAAAAGTACAAATTTATATATATATAAAAACGTTTTAAAACAAGCAGGGAAGTAAAATGTCCAGTGCAGCAGATTCAGACGTGCCTCCTTTAAATCCAGCTATTTCCCCTCTGGCCTGGATGCTGGGAACCTGGGTGTCTGAACCAGGTGGGAAAGGAGAGTTTCCAACCATTACCCCATTCAACTACAAGGAGGAAGCGGTCATCTCTCATGCAGGACAACCGATGCTGAATTTCACGTTTTGTTCGTCTAACCCTGATACTGGGAAAGCATTACATAGAGAATGTGGGTTCATCCGAATCAACTCTGGCACCAATCAAGTGGCATTTATTTGTGCTGAGAACATAGGTGTTGTGGAGATTGAGGAAGGGGAAGTGGACGGAGAGCAGCTAACTCTGATGTCACGCTCACTCAGCAGGATCAGTTTTGCCAAGGAACCTCATGTCCAGCAGGTTTGCCGCATGTTCTGTCTGACTGCTGAAGGGAAGCTGGAGCAGACTGTTTCCATGGCAACAAGTACACAAGCTTTGGCTCCTCACCTACACGTTACATACAGAAAGTTGTCCTCATGAATGGTCTGGTCCAAGATTATAAAACCATTCCTGTACTAGTCACATAGCCTTAAATTCACTGGAGGCCGAGCTCCTTTGTGCCTGTGTGTAATAATAGAATTACCTATTTTTCAAAAAAAAAAAAAAAAAAACTTTTTAAAAATACTTTGTTTCATTTTGCCAGGAATTTTGCTAATTTTGCTAAACTAGGTACTGCCATTTATGTATTATCATACATGTGTTGTGTAGTCTATGATGATACTTTGATATGTGGCTGAATTCTGATTGGCTGAGTATACAGAGCATCCAATCAGAATACAGATTTGATTTCAAATAGATTAGTTTTCTCCTATTCTCTGGCTTTGTGAAAAAAATCAGGAATCAAGCAGTAAAGCACATAGCAAACAATTCATGTAAGTTTCACAAGTACGCAAATTTGCCTCAGTGTTCTATTCCATATAAAAACATTTATACAGCAGCTTTATTGGCCCAAGGTTAGAGCTATGTACAGTATACACTTCCAACTGGAATTTCTGCTTACTGCTCTAGCCCTTCTTTAATGACCTGGAGATATTTAGCCTGTGAAATTAGCTCGGCTGGTAATTAATTGTGGGTTGAAATGGGACACAGTGAAAATATTTGCAATGATATACAGCCCCTGGCCTTGCGCTGCCATAATTACAGTGTATAAACACAGGCAGCCGAAATGACATGACACTGGCAGCCAGACAAAGGAGCCATGGTGCACTCAGATGAGGCTGTGAAAATTATTTTGACAATTGTTTAGCCTGCTTTACATTTTATTGCCATCCAGTACAAAGATAACAGTGTGTGGAAGGGAATGTATGTCAGTGTGCCATGACCAGGGATCGTTAAGGGGAAATTAGAGCAATCACTGATTGTGTGAAACATTTTTTTTCTTATTCCAGATGAAATCGCGTTTTTGGCAAAGATTGCTAAATCGTGTGATGCTGCTCATTCTATTTTGAAGCTTGGAATACTGAGGCCAAAAATAAGGCATATTGCTGATAGACAAATCTGTCAATGTCAATCTAAATCCAAGGATCTCAAGGTTGCATTAGTATTACTGTGAGCAGTAAATGTTGTATTTAAGGTACTTATTATTTTTGTTGATCGCGCTACTTGTCAGATAAACTCTTTAAAAGCTGGAATATGCTATATGAAACCATTTCATCTAAATGTACTACAGCAGGGCTAGTCATCCTTTGGTACTCCAGATGTTCTAGACTACATATCCCCTGATCTTTTTCCAGCATTGTGGCTGTGAGAGCATTATGGGAGATGTAGTTCACATCATCTGGAGTGCCGATGGTTGCCTAACCTTGTTCTAAAGAATATAGCCGTGTGTACATGGGGGCCGAAAGTGCATAGTCACCCTAATAAATTTGCCATTTTACAAAAAACATTTAAAATTATTTGAATTTCATCATTATAATGGCCCTGTCATTATAATTTTCTTTTTTCATAAATCAGTTTACAACAGTATTCTAAAAAGATTAATAATATTTTCACATAATCGAGTTATAGCAAGTTGAAGCGGCACTGTCACTGTCTGGGGACTGGTGGCCTGGCCAGGAAATGTGAGACTTACTTACCAGAATCTGTCCCTCTTGGGCCACAATCTTCTTCCGAGTGGAAGCACCAGGAGCCGCTCATGCATGACAGACTGTCATGTCCATTCAGTGGTCAGAAAAAACAATTATGGGGAGAGACCTGCCCATTATGGTCTTTACCGGTGATGCAAGCCACCTCACTGGCAACTACCCCATCAGGTCCTACACCCTTATCCCGACTGCATACTTCCCAGTGATGGGCGTGAAGAGCAGGTTTATCTGTACAAGAATATGCCACCTCCTCTTTTATTAATGTAGATATGGATAATATGCTCAGTCATACACTGAATTTAACTCCAGGACATCAATATAACTGATTTAAACAGGAATAGATAAATACAAATTGTTTTTATTCTTTAAACTCTTGTTATGTTGGTGGAGTATTTAGCTTGCATTCATGAAATACATCTACCTGCACAGAGTGACCAAAGGGTATCATGTGTAATAGTAAAAATAATATGCATACATGATAACATTCTTTAAACTCCACTTGTTCTCAAAATGAACAGATTCTCTAGAAGTAATTTGGCTTATTTACTTAACTGAGAATTGTGGATAATGGACACAGAAATGCACAAATTTAGACACAAAAATGTAAATGGAATAATATATTTTGAAGTAAAAAAACATATTCTGTAATTTAAAATATATCAAAAATAAAAATTCCCAATTAATTTAAAAAGAAATGGAGGTTTAATATTAAACATGAAACTGAAAATCAAATTGCTAAATTCATATTGAAGCAGTCAAACTGTGAATATAGATGAACTGGTGAAATTGTCTGTCTCATTATTTATGGCCTGAATTTTGCAATTAGGTTTTCAGTTTATCACTCTTTACTGTCTAAAATCTGAAATAGCTGCCTCCTAGAATTGTAATTGCCAATAATCTAGGGCAGCACAGGCTTGTATACAGGGCCAGATTAAGAACCCATTGGGCCTGGTGTTGACCATTATGATGGGCCTAATTACAGAATCTTATCAACAGAAAATACTAAAACAGTCATACCTCCATGTGTCATGTATCTGGAGGTGGTGCTAGAGGGAAACCTACGATATAGCTTTAAGAAAACACATACCCTATGCTAATGTCTCGCTTTCATCTCTCAGGGTAATCCATATCCCCTACCAGCAGTGTCCAGTGCCCTACCAGCAGTGTCCAGTGCCCTACCAGCAGTGTCCAGTGAAGCAGGACGTCGGTGGGTGGGGTAAAACGGTGGCCACTTATACAAATCACATAACCTGCACCAAAAAAGGTGGCATGTCTGCCCAAAGAACGGAAGGCCAGCCTGGTGTGAATGCATTTCAGTCTGCCTGCCAATAATGCTGGCTATCCAACCAAGGGCGTACTATGCACACAGTACCCTGAGGTTGGCATAAATGCGTCTCGCTCCACGCTGTCTAAGAACTCCCGTAGCACTCACTTGTCCACTCCACTCCTCTCCTTACCGTCTTACTAGCAGGCAGAAGCTCCTGTTATACTGTCTGGGACAGAGAAAAGGTGTATGCAGTAGTGTAGAAGAAAGGGAACATGCCACAGTGTTAGAGAGACTGAAGCAGCAAGAGTGTTTGCATTATGCACAAAGACAGCTTTACCTTAACTAATTTAATTGTCAGTTAGTCCACACAAGTTTTGTTACCCTACATCCCTCTTAAGTTTCCATACTTAAGCAAGAGCATGTGAAGAGTAGTAAAAATAAATAAATAAATAGAGTAGTTTTAAAAAAATTAATGAGAAAAAAACATTTTATTTTTATTTTTTTAAATCCAATGGGCCTATTCAATGGACATGTGCCTGGAGCTGCAGCTCCATCAGCCCCTGTGTGTTAATCCGACTCCCCTGCTTGTATACTCAATAGTAAATACTACACAATGTTAACATATTACCACTAGTCTTAACACTAACGCTAACTCCAACACTTATCCTGTGTATTGGGGAAAATAGTGTTATCTCTGGGTTATGGTGATATTTATTCTCAACATTTGTGGTTTATTGTGATTCCAGAACCCCGAGATGGGATTATTTCCCAATAGAAATATAGTTCGCTTTTATTAATCTTCTATATGTTTTTCTCTGTATTATTTCATTTATATTATAATATAGATGACAGGTCCTTGATTTGTTGGTTGTTACTTTGTTTCAGGACTGACCACAGAGAGCTTGAAATTGTACTTTGATATTTCAGTCTTACTGTACCTTTTTTACATGTGCACCAACACAGGGCTCTTTTTGTCAACTTGTGGAATATAATTCAGTTGTATGGGCGTGTAATGCGAGAGAAGAAAATGGTGCGTTTACATACAGTAAAAGTGCATTATAAAATCCATTAGCGACTTGCGTTAAGGGTTTTATAGTTCAAACCGACTGCATTCTTGACATTTTTGCTGAACTGCCAAGATTGCAAAATAAAATGCCTTTTCTAATTCTGCCTCTAAGAATAGTCCCACTACTTTCTGATTTAAACTAACAATGTGAAGGAACAATGTGCATTCACAAGTTCATGGCGGGGTCGAACATTTCAGGCTGTCCTTAAAGAGATACTTCACGTTAGATTTTACCTCCCATTACTTTTTAAGGCATTACACATTTTATAAATCTTTTCTTTTTCTTCGGTATTGATAGCACATCATCTGAAGTTCAGTTTCAACAAGCAAGTTGCTTATATATCGTTATTACTAGAGTTATATAGTGCTAACACTTTCCACAGGACTTATACAACTATACAGTGAGGTTATATAACAACACGTTGACAAACAAATATAAAGGTGAAGAAGGTTCTGCTCAAACTAAAAAGAAGAAAGAAAAAAAACTGAAAGAAAAACTTTAGGGACGTTCATTGCAATGCGAACTAACTTCCTAAATCACGCACTTCCTCTGTCAAATATTGTAAGGCGTGTATTGGCTCCCAAAGCTATCCACTAAGAAACTGATAATCTAAACACAAAGGCATAGGCGTGCGCACGGGGTGTGCCGGGTGTGCCTGGCCACACCCTAATCCCCGCGGCACGCCTATGGAGTGAGACCGGCAGGGGAGATCCCAGAGCCGGCGCTATCCGAGCGCCGGCTCTGCTCTAAGCCTCCTCTCACCGACCCACTGGCAGTGAGGGAGGCAGGAGAGGACCCGAGGAGCTCTTGCCAGCAGCTCCACCGGGTTCCTCTTGTGAGATCTGAACGTTGCCGTGGCAACGCTCAGCTCTCACGAGCGTGAACTCTAGCCCCGCAGGCTAGAGTTCACTCTCCACTGGACAACCAGGGATGGCAGCAAGGAAGGATCCCCCCTCCCAGGCATAAGGTAAGAAGGGAGGGGGGATATTTATTAACTAATCTGCCCCCACCTCCACCCCCACAAATCACCCAAACATACAGCACACACAAACATACAGCACACACACACAAACAGCACGCACACACACAGCACCCACACAGATACAGCACACACATACAGCAAACAAACAGCACTCACACACACATACAGCACACACACATACAGCACCCTCACACACAGCACACTAACAGTACCCTCACAAACACAAACAGCACCCTCACACAGCACACTAACAGGACCCTAACAAACACACACACAGCACACTACAAGTACCCTCACACACAAACAGCACCCTCACACACAGTACATTAACAGCACCCTCACAAGCGCACACACAAACACCATCACCCACATAGCACACTACCAGCACCCTCACACACACATCACACTAACAGCACCCTCACACAGCACACACACACAGCAATGTATGTGTGTGTATGTATGTGTATATATATATATATATATATATATATATACACACATGTAAAAAACAGATAAAATTCTTATCTTGTAATACCTTATTTATTGGACTAACAGAATTTTTTAATGACAAGCTTTTGGGAGAACCTCCCTTTCTCAAGTCTGAAGCATAAATAAGGTATTACAAGATCAGAATTTTATCTGTTTTTTACATCTACATCACAGGACTAATACGGCTACAATCTCTACTTGAACACTATATATACACATATATATATACGCGGCGTGTGCTTGTGCTTTAGGGTGCACACCCTAATGCAATAGGCTGCGCACACCTATGGGTGTAGGTAACAGACAAGCCATCTTAATTATTCGGTGACTACAGAAGATTCTACAAAGTATTTTATTTTTCCTTGGTGCCAGTGTAATGTTGACATGGTGAGTCTTTTCCATTCTGCTAATGAGTTTACAAGAAAACTGTGGTCAATTCTTTATGTTGGATAAACTGTGTGTAAGCAACACATGTAGTGATGAAAACAAAGGCACAGCAGTTTTAGAAGTAACATTTTTAGTGTTCTTTAGGCAACTGAAGGAAAACAGCAAGTTCATGTCCCGTCAGATTTTCAACTTTAATTCCTGCTTGATTCAGTCAGTTATTGGTTATCCTCTAACATGCTGATGGTATCTGTCGGTCCCTGGCTTCTCTGATTCCATTCTCTCATGATGGTCTTCACCTGACCCACACCCCTTGGTCTCATGTCAATAAGCATGGTAGCGTTTTACTTTCCTATGCTCCACTTACAGTTTTCTCTTTAAACTCTGAAGGCTGTCAGTTTCTTAACTCTTAAAAAACCAACCAACCACTGAGGACTAACTTGTGTTAGATGCATAATCTCTTCTATTTTATTTTTTGTGCTCTGTTTCTAACTTGTCCAAAACACATTTTCCACTCAATGATCTCTGTTAACTTGCTATCATAGAATGCTCCTTCTCACCTTTATACACATAATATTAACTACATCAGTAGAATTTTTGCTGTCCTGGACTGTGCCAATTCCCTACTGATCTCAAGCATCTCCATTGGATTATCTCCACCTTCCATTTGTCTAATGGAGTAACATTCTTTTAGAACACCACCCTTGCAAATAGCCTGGAGAAAGTGGAACTTGTACCAATGACTCTTTATGCGAGCCACAGGTCCAACCCTGAAATGCATAATTAATCTTTTATGTCCAAAGGTTTTCTCAAACAGATGAGCATTGCTTGAGGATACCTCAAGTGACTTACTAAGTATTAATTAATGCTGTGCTCCAACATTTCTCTGCCCTATCAAGCAAACTTAGGCTCATTTTTGCCTGCTGTTTTAAAAATGTTATTTGTCTACAGGTAAACAACTTCTAAAGTACCCCTAGTTAAAAGATGATATCCCTTCTATGCACCTCACATTTTGTTGGGGGGGTGGGCGCCAGCGGAATCACCAAGAGACATTATAGTGGTCACAAAAGATATGGCAATCCACTCTGTGATCATGTCCCGCTCACGAAAATTAGGTAGCGTGCAGCTAGAGGGTAGCACGGTAACCTTTTATGGGGACCTCAAGTTCACGGCCCTGGTAGAATGGAGACAACTGGCACCAATGGCCAAAAAGGTAAGAGATGCTGCAATTCAATACCGATGGGTATTGAATTGCAACAGAGGACCAGCTTCTGGTCGTCTGGCCTCCAAAGACGACCAGAAGCAATTCCTCAGACAGCTGAGCCTGCACGAGACTGAAAAAGGAGAACCCAGTGGAGACGGCGACCAGAAGCAACGGCACCCACAGTGCAATCATGGGCCACAAGAATATACGCAGCAGTGAACCGACAGAGAGCGCTTACCCTCAGAGTTAGCCGCCTCAGAATCCCTAGATATTATTTCATCTTACTCTGATTTATTTGCTCTCAATATATTTTAATGTGGGCACAGCTTAAAACCTCCTGTAGAAAGCCCAAATAGTATGGACTGTCCCCACCACTACTGACCCAAGATAACCCCTAGCGATAGTACATCCAACGGGAAGGGTCCTTAAAATACCCGCACTAGACATTTACTAAGTGATATTACAGAAAAGCTGTTTATATTATTATTTTCATGCTATGATAACGTTGTATTTTGAGTCCCAAAACTCCAATAAAATACAAATTACAAATGTTTTTAAAAAGGGGTGGGGAGTTGTCACCACATAATGGTACATCGCCACTAAGCCATTGCAGATCTAAACAGTAAATAGCTTCCACAACACATTTAATATGGTCAAGACTCCAAATTATTATAATATCAATATCTATTTGGCAGTTACATAGTATACCAGAACCACATAATGATGCAAATCCCATGAATATACACAGGATTAAATTATGAGTCAATCCAACCATTGATCAATCACATAACCAACTCATTAAAAACAATTCCCCCCTAAAGACCATGTATCCCTTTGATTGGAGAAACTCATCCTTAAAATTTCTGGGGGTCAACTTGACCGCCTCCTATTCCAAACTCACACGAGAAAACCATTTACCTCTAGCACACAAACTGTAAACACAACTGGACAAATGGCAACCCCTAGAAATTTCATGGCTGGGTCGGGTGCAGACGATCAAGATGATGGCCCTGCCACATGTGCTTTACCTGTTTCGCACCATACCCATAGCCCTACCAGAAACGCTTCTCAGGAAATTTCAATCTATATTCAACTCATACATCTGGAAGAAAAAAAAAAAAACAGAATCACACATAGATTAACATGGCTCCCACCGAACAAAGGAGGACTAGGTGCCCCCGACATAAAGGCTTACTACAAAGCTTCAGTGTTGCCATAGGGTCTAGAGGCCCTGACACGCCCTAAACCCCCAGTGTAGTTACCACTGGAGAATGCGTGCATACACCCAGACACAATAAACCAAAAACTATGGTCCTTAAATAAGAAAACAAAGACCTCCACGTTCCGTCTACCCAACACCAATTTCTTACTGGCCAGCTGGAGAAGATGGGCGGGAGCCCTAATGGGCCAAGCGCACCCACTTTTCTTTGCCCACCTTTCCCGGCTACACGACCTCACCAGCGACCTTCCGCTGAGATCGTGGACAGACAGTGGGATCACCTCCATAGGGTTCCTGATCACACCACAGGGCATCAAACATTTCTCCGAGCTACAAACAGAATTTGCACTACCCACCAAGGAAATATTCACCTACTTACGTATTAAACATACCCTAATTTCACTGAACCTACAACACTGTGAAGCAGAACAACTGACAACCTTTGGCCGACAGTGTATAACCACTCACCATACACGTAAACCTCTTTCCCTGTGCTATAATTCGATTAACGATGCTGACAGGTCCAAAAAACATCCTTATATGCTACTATGCGAACGTGACCTAGATGTATCATTCCCTCTCCCTCTGTGGCTGCACTCACTACAAGTCACACGATCATCTTCCCATAACCTGTCCCATTGGGAGGCGTACTACAAATTACTGATGAGATGGTACTTAGTGCCTGTACGATTAGCCCAGATGTACCAATCGGCAACACAGACATGCTGGAGATGCGGAGATGGGGAGGGCACACTGTTACATATGTTCTGGGACTGCCCCAAACTGATACATTTTTGGCAATGAGTTAGAGATCTGATTAGGGTAGCCACAGCGATTGTCATCCCTCCACACCCAGAGTGCTGTCTCCTACATATACACGCTGGACTGTTAACTTCACCACATAAGGTGGTCATATGCCACCTCCTATTGGCCACCAAGACCAGTATAGCTAGCCGTTGGAAAAGCACAGACCCCCCATCTATTCAGGAGGTGACAGACAGGGTTCACTCGACGTATGAGTACAAACACTTAGCATATAGGCTGAAAGGACGAGAGGTCAAACACGCACGACTATGGCACAGTTGGAATACAGCGCCTTCCCTTGAGTAATAGAAAGCTGGCTTGCAGATCAGGTCCATTAGGCGGACAGGACACAGACACTGGGACACGCAGCAACGCACGACCGAGACCACACAACCGTTCAATAGTTGATCATTGCCCCCCCCAACCGACAACTAACAAGGGTGAACTAGAGGTACTCAAGCCACCAGACACCAAAGGCAGTTTTATTAGTAACCCATGTTGACAATTCTGTTCTGCTTATTGGTGTCACACGTTGGTACTTACTTGCTGTTCATAAGATCACAAGCTGTGTACACATTAACCTATGCTTGCAGCAGCGGCAAATGTTCGTGTCGATGCAATGTTACCCCATCCCCCGCTTCCTTTCTGTACCCCTTAATATCATTTACATGATGAAAAAAAAATCAATAAAATGAGATATTGAAAAAAAAAAACAATTTCCCCTTCACTTCCATCCAATGTTTCATCTTTGCCCAAAATGGCACCTGTACCAGATCTCCATGTGCTCCACCACTGCCACACCTTTTGAAAGTAATGTGCTGTTATATAAATGCTCTCGAATATTTTTCAAGTGTCAATGGATAAAGTAGGCAGAACTTGGGATTTCCATGCCTTTTCTATGTGCTGTTGCGCAGATAAAATTACATTTTACTAACTCTTTCTGGTATTATCAAGCAGTAAATAGGTTAACGGTTAGAAAGGGCAATGTAACGCCAGTTAATTTAATAACTAACTGGTGGATTGCCTCCTACTAAAGCTGATTTTGTGGAAAGGTCCACGAAACCTGCAATTTATTGCCTTCTCCCCTATTACAGGGACGATGAGGATGCTGTTGGAAATATTTTACGTAAACCAAGAGTGTACCATGTACCACTTGCATTCTATTTTTCTATGCTGTCCCAGTAGAGCTGTGGATCATTCGTTATATGTGTTTGGAAGAAGGGTGTCTGCGGAGTCATTAGCTTGTTACACATGGAGATGGGTTTACATCCCAATGGAAGTTTATCATCAATACATGTCAATTCAATAGCGGTCACATTAAATGTTTCCATTTTTTTTTAAAAAAACTTTATTTTTCAGTAGTAATAAAAAGTAAGTAATTTGTTTTTAAAGATTTAATATGGAATAATCATATGATATAAAACTACGAACGCTGGGGATAAAAAAAAACAAAAAAAAATCTAGACCCATGAGCTTCGTTATACTTTCCTCCAACTTTCTTCAAAATGTATACATTTTTGGTGCTCTTTCAAATCATATGAAAACAACCGCGCCCACATCTCCAACATTTATTACATGTAGTTAGTCAAATTTGATAAAGATCTGCTGGGGCTTTGTACCATCTTACTATTAGTTTTTTAGCATCAATATTTAATAACGAAATCCTTTTTACACATAGTTGGGGTTTATCCAATTTTGGTAAAGTAAAACTCGTGCTCTTGGTAATACATTAAGGAGGTATAGATCTAGGGTCTATGGACAGGTCAAGTCAATTCCTCTATCTGATGGTGATTTAAGTATGGCAGCACTATGGTGGACATATAATGAGGTATGCCTTGGGCTTGGATTTGTTAGGGTCCTTTCTCAAATTGTATAATTGAGCATAAAACTTAGAGAAAGTGGAGCTAATGGCTTGTGGTTCCAAACATTTCTTTCCTTTTGATCTTGCATGCTATACACGATTGGACTTGTGTAGCTTTGTACATCTGTAATCCGTTTGGATGAATAATACCTCTGTGATCGATATGGAGAGATGGTACCTTTGTAATATGCAGGGAGGGTTGGTCCATTTGTAATGGAAAAAAGAAACACAGTAATTTCAAGGGACTCTGTAGGCACCATAACTGCTTTATCTCATTGACGTCGTTATAGTGTATATAGTTTCCTGGCACTGTCCTACCATTCAGCATTCAACCGTTTTTAATTTTTTAATGATAAACAAAGTCCCCAGCAACCCATTTACCCATTTCCTCTGTGCTGGTTGGGCCAATGAGGAAGCATTAGCACAAGCAACAATGGGCGGCTGTGACTGGCAGAGAATGTCTATCACAGTGCCAATTCAGGCCTGAATTGGTATGGCTACAAGGAAATGTGTAATCTTTACCTAATCCATAAGGCCAGTAGGGGAAATGCTTGAAAACAGTTTAATACTGAATGGAGGGACAATGCCACAGTACTCCAAGAAATATAACCAATTCAAAAAGTTAAAATGGTTTTAGCTCCTACAGTGTCCCTTTAAATATCTATAAGTTGCCAGATGTTAATATTTAGATTAAGGCAATAATATATTGCTTTTCAAATTGTCAGAGTTTTGTATTTATTGGGCTGTGTATAGATTTGTATCAGTGAGAACAATGTCAAAAGATAGCATGCCAAATGACAGATATAGAAATAATAGGATAACCAAATTTGAGAAATAAGGGCATTAAAACCTGGTATTGGTTTTGGCATTAGGAAATTGGCATTAGGAACTGGAGTTGGAGCTTGGTGCTAGGAGATAGAGATTAACACCTGGCATTGGGAAAGAGTTACGCGGTTTGGGTTTGGCATTGGGGATATAGGTCAGAGGTTCAGATCATGGGGTTACGGATCAATTTAGAGGATAGAGAGCATTGGGAAGGAGTTACACAGTTTGGGTTTGGCATTGGGGATATAGGTCAGAGGTTCCAATCATGGGGTTACAGATCGATTTAGAGGTTAGGTTTAGACATTAGATATGAGCTTAACATACACACTACAGTAGAGCACGACATTTCCAGTAGCCATTGGCCATTGAACATTGAGCCCTGCCAAAATAGAAATTCACTCTTGATAAGTGTGCCATGGACCCTCCAAGCTTGCAGTGGTGAGTAATTCTTATGGCCCGGCAAGCAGCGTATTACTTGAAATTTCAAGCCCTACACTAGTGGTTACTAAG